GTTATTTAGACCTACATTATTATGCTCCATGTAAGTTTATCCATGTCTGCATTACCATGATAAATGGCAAAAAAAAATTGCCGTGAACCTTGTGTAGAAACGTTAAACAAGTCGCTCTTAGATACACATTCAGCATCTTCAGCAACACGCTATTGAGATAAGTATGTACAGATTGTTAAACGAAAGTGAGGCTAATTCTCGTGTAGACCTCTACATAATATTTTAGAATTAAAGTTTTTGGGTTTATTGCATTCTTTTTTACTATCTTGTTATTAATTTTCAATATTGCAGGTATAATTGAAAGAGTAAGATAACTCAAGTTGATTAAGAAACGATAAAAATAATTCCAAATATGAGAATGTTGAATATTTATCGGATGTACAAAATTACCCTAAATATCCTTGACTAAAACCTAAAGTTTCTACATTAAGGTATTTCTACCGTAAAATATTGAAAGAACTATTTCTTTATTAATACAATTGATGTATCATTAGTTACGCTTTATGTAATTTGTTAAAAATCATTGTTGGATTTGATTTTAAAGAACGTACATATATGATACACATGTGTGGACATTTAATAAAATATTTCTAGTCTTAGTTGTACACATTTTTCGGTTACTTTTCAAATCAGAGTTTTACTGTTTTTACCAGGTTTGGTCGCCGACCTATTATTCTTCTGGGAATCGCCATTTTCTTCGCTTCTGCTTTGGCGTGTACCTTTTCTACATCGTATGTCATGTTTACTACACTTCGATACTTTGTTGCATTCGGAGCTTCTGGAGCAGTCACAACAGCCTTTGTTTTACGTATGTTCTTACCCATAGTACGGAAAGTAATAAATATAATTGTATTCAAATCGTAAAAAGTATATAATTTAACATTATTTACCTTATTATAAAAACAAGGATTTTGGTTTGTTGTTTGTAGTTAAGCACAAAAAGCTATCCAAGGGTTATCAGTGCTGTAGATAAAATTCAAGGAAACTTGTATAAATATTGTACAATCAACGTTGTACAATATACAGTTAAAATTTTATTTAAAAACCGATCGCCCTATTTCACGCCATCCTCAAGAAGGTGAAAAACAAATGCTATGCAATACATAAATACAAAAAAAGCCATGATCATGTGACTACATATTTAGAAAAGATCACGCCATCTACTTACTTTCTGGTTTTCTAATCCTTCATCCTTATTTAAGATGAAATTATTTTTACTACGCTTCGTTATTTCTATGGTTTCTCTAATATTTCTAGCCGTTATATTATTCGGATGAATCAAAATAACAGTTTTTTTCTCATTGAGTAACATGATCAGTATAATTTGCATGTTCAACTAGTGCAAAGTTTTTACTTTTGTTTTAAAAATTTCTCTTATGTTCATTTACTCTAAATTGCTTCTAGTATGACCAATATAAACACAACTACATTCACATTCAATTTTATAAATGCTCATTTTCTCCATTAGATTGATTTTATCTGTAGTTTTATTTAGTAATTTACTAATATTATTCAATGGTCTATAAATGGGAATGATATTTTTGTTTTGTTTTTTAAATTTACGAAAGATTTGACATGACAAACCTGGGACATGTGATAAAAACAACATTTATTTTTTATCTATTTTATTAAATGTGGATTTAAGTTTACTTTTTTGATCATCATTGGTTATTTTATTAAATTTTTTACAGCTGTATCAACAATAAGAGGTGATAAATATTTGTCTGATGCTACATATTTGATTACTAACAGTTAATTTTTTAATTTAGAAAATATTTATTCATATAGCTTGGCAGGTATTTCAATTTGTAAAAATGTAATCGGGGTGTTCAGAAACTTGTGTTACTCTTCAACCGAAAGTAGTTTTTGCTAAGTACTTAAATAGTCTTGAACCCGATATTCAATTTACTTAGGAAGCTGAAGAAAATGAAAGTTTACCGTTTTTAGAAGTAATATATAAGAAAAACAAAAATCAGTTAGAAACTACAGTCTATCATAGACCTTTTTCTGTTATCATGCCGCCACACCAAGAATCATGTCAGTTTTTTACTGTTATGTTTGCAGGTTGAATCTCCATCTTTCTTCACGGGCATTTATAGTAAACTTATTAACCAGTACATTGTTCACTTTTATCCTTTCCCCAGGAGCATTCAGCAGAAAACAATAAGTGTTTTATTTTATTAACATCCACAATTATCTACCAGCATTTATCAAAAACTTACCAACTTATATTTAGATCAATATCTGCCTTTCTTCATAAATCTTCTTCCACTAATTCCTGGAGGAATCTCCACCTTTTCACACGGGCATTCTTCAAAATCTTATATTACAATCTTCTGAATGAATCTCCACTTTCCTCCACAATTATTCATCAAAAACTTTTCATGCAATCCCTGAATAAAGAACCTTTCTCTACAGGCATTCATAAAAGGCATTCAAGTAGCGAAAGTACCCGGCTTCGCTCGGGTTATTAGGTTAATATATTGTAGATGACTATGTTATAGATAATTATAGGTGCCACTATACGTCACGTTACCTAACCTGTATAAAAGCCACCGTGTGTCACGTCACACTTAATTTATCTTGATTTCTCGAAATAAGAGGAGTCATAAAAGCCAAAATGCATTTATCAAGATAGAATAGTTCGATTAGTGTCTGCCCATTACGATTTTAGTGACGGGGTGCAAGGGGGGGGCTGTGAAGGGGGTTGCCGTAAAATCTTGTAAATATAGTGAATATTGGTATGATTTAAAGAAATTAATAAATAAGCCTAATATAAAGACAAAGTGTGGGATCACCTAGTCTATAGCCAAGTGCATAAAATTTATCACGAAAGTAAAAATATCGATCCAAATTTAAACTTACATCGTTTTTAAATTAAGGTGTTTTTTGATACCACAAATTTTAAAAAAACAAACAAACCTCTTTAATCAACGGAGACTTTAAATTAAAAATCAACAAATATTTTTCCAGTTTTTTGTTTATACATTTCATTCTATACTTTCAGTATATAGATTAACTATAATATTAGGTTATACTTTTATTGCTAAGCGACATAACATAAAAGCCATTATTGAAACGCATTGTTCTTTTCTATTTATTAGAAGTTGTTAATCTAACTGATATAATACAAGGTATACTATGGGGTGGTAGTATTTGCCTCGTCATTTTTGACGGGCTATACGCTAGTCTGTAATAATAAAAGAGAGTGTCTGTCTGTCTCTCTCTGTTATTTCTATTTGTAATATAAGGAGCCACTACTTTTATATGTGGTTTTTCGCTAGCTTGCCTCATTAAAAAGATGCTCACGCGCATGCACATGGATAAGATAAGTAATAATACTCAGGTACACGTCCTCAGGGTCCACTTAGTATGGGTGCAAAAATTTCAGGTTTTTAAGTTATTTCGTCTTGGATTTATGGCGGTTACATACACACACAGACATGCTCTTTTATTATTTTAGATACAATGTAGTGTTAGCATGTAAGTATATGATATCGATAATAGAAGTATAACGTGGCTTTAGCGTGGAAATTTATAATAGCTATAATAGATGTTATATGGGGTTAATTCTGACGTTCATAGCTACGGTAGACCTGAAATATTAACAGTATATTTTCGGCCGTCATACCAAATATATTTCATTAACTTAGAAAATTTAAAATAGTAGTTCACCTTTATCTTAAACTGAAAGTACAAAATAATCTTCATGAGTTTAAGATTAATAATAAAAAATAATCATACTCAAATTATTTTAGAATTTGTAACTAATAACATCAATGAAACTATCTTTAAAGAAACTTGGATATGTTATTACTTGATAAATATTAGAAAGGAAAACATCTATTTACTCCTGAGATCCACGAAGCTGACCAATATACGAAGCCTGAATACTCTTACAGTGTTAACGTATTTGTTGTAGAGAGTATCCAACAACAACAAATAAAAACAGAACGAGGATACTAAAGAAAAATAACAACAATCATAAGATAGAGAACTTAATCGCTTAGGCAAATATTTATATCACTGTTCTTTTATTGATATCCTAGAAAATTGTAACACTAGTATAAGCAAGCCCTCCGATGGCAAAGCGGTAAGTCTAAAGCGATATTACGCCAAAAATCTGGTTTTAATACCCGCTATGGGCAAAGCACAGATAACCCATTGTGTAGCTTTATGCTTAAAAATAAACGAAAAACATTTTAATTCATTTTATTTTAGTGTTCTTGGGCTGTGATTTCTCTTCTAGAAAGTTATTAGTTGTTGTTTTTTTATCTTGTGTGTTTTCTTAGTATCATGTCTATGTTTCTACAGTCATGGAAGTGATTGGTGCACAGTACCGCACAGTGCTTGGGGTCTCGTTTCAGTTTGGCTGGGCTTTGGGATACGTACTCCTGCCTGCTTTAGCTTGGTTTGTGCGAGAATGGTCAAACTTGCATCTGACATTGACTGTACCATGGATACTGCTCTGTAGTTTCTGGTGGTAAATGCTTATTTTCATTTCAGTAATATTATTTATAGTGACTTAAAAAATCAATCTAATAAAAATCTGATCACTGTGAAGAAAAAACAAACATATGTACAATATATTACAGAAAACGAAACGTATTCGTAGAATAAAGCAGTTATGAAAAGTCGCAACTTATCTTAGTCTTGGTAACACATATGATCTATGCACAAATTATTAATCATAGAAACCTTTCATAGTCACGTTGACTAGGTGGAAAAGTGTCCAATAATTAATATTGAAGAAACATTAAAACCAACGTATACTTTACGGGTCTCTGCCCAAGAAATGTTATTAAAACAAAAGATTGATAACACATTTCTATGTGTATATGAACTATTTAGTTCCATGTTCGCTTGTTCTGAACACTCAGGCCGCAAACCAGTTTGTGATATCTTTATGCAATTTTTTTCAGGCTTCTCCCAGAATCCCCTCGCTGGTTAATAACGCATGGGAAGGTCGAACAGGTTGAGAAAGAGATCGAAACAGCTCTAAGAATCAACCATAAAAACGTGACAGATATAGGGAAAATAGTGAAAGAGCTGATGTATAAAGAGACACGTGTAAGTTAACTTAAGTGAGTCCAGCAACAAGAGAGCTCAGACGAACAGGGAATAAACAATGCTATAGATGTGAAAAACAAATAGTAACAAAATCAGTAACATAAAATTATAGCTATACCATGAATATATTTCTATCTTATGTTATATCATGAAAGAGTGTATAAGGATACTCGTATACTGTTTTTCAAGTATGGTGTATAAGGATATCCCCATGTTCAGCTATACCATGACATGATATGTGAGGATATTTCTATGGCAAATTCTGTCATGACAAGATGCATGATAATATTTTATGACTAGTTATACCATGAATTATGTTTACAGTTTTTTCTTGATCTTCTGCATCAGAAGTTTAATATTTTTACAATCAGAGTATCTGAAATATTACAGTTATCATAGCCATGCATCATGACTAATACGTAGTTAAAGTTTTGCTGAGATGTTTCGTCATCCTGAGACTGGACGAGTATGTTTCGTTTATTAAATTACTCAATAATGTGAGTACTTTATTAGTGGTTTCAAAATTTTTTTCTTCACAAATGTTATATATCTTTAGTATTTTAGTTATTTCGGCTGATTTTATTAATAAAAGAAATGGTATGCTCCCTTAACTTAAATAATTTGTTTCATTAGAAATAAAACAGTAAATATAGTGAATCCAATATTATTGTGACAGAGTAATAAAATTATAGAATATCGTGTGTAGAAAGTAAGTAATAAAACCGTAATAAATGGAACAAAGTCTTAAGTAATTTGTTTTATTAGAAATAAAACAGTAAATATAGTGAATCCAATATTCTTGTGACAGAGTAATAAAATTATAGAATATCGTGTGTAGAAAGTAAGTAATAAAACCGTAATAAATGGAACAAAGTGTCAGAAGTCTTGATATTGGGGAAATTAGTTTCGACACATTCGTAACCTTTACCAAATTGTTGTTCCATTTACTGAGGTTTTTTTACTAGCAGGACAAACTTTAGTAGGTAAAGTAACCAAGTTAACGTGGTAAACGTTCGGTGATGATAATGCCAGAATAATCTGGTAAAACTTGTCAGGTGATGATGCCCAATTCATTTGGTGAAATCGTTTTAGGTAATGATATTAGATGTATTTGGTGAAACGTTGTTAAGTGATGATGTCAGGTTAGGTTGGTGAAACATTGTTAGGTGATGATGTCAGTTTTTTTTTTTTCATTTCTCATAGTCCTTGCGGACCGTTGAGCCGATGGCAGATCTTACTCTGCCATCATTTCTAAAGCTGTTTCTTACGTCAAGGATGCAACCCACTTGACAGCCTTCCCTCTT